GGGCAGGGACACAGCTTCCCCCCCCCCCCCGGCGGACACCGGCTTTGTTTTTACAGGTGTCTGGAGGGCAATTTACTAACAAGTAATTAAAGGTTGCACCGGTTTGCAGGCGCGTCGGGCCAAAGGCTCCCGCAAGAGAAGAGCGATGCATATGGAGAGGGGTTTGCCCTTCCTCATTAAAAAAGAGAATAATAAAAGAGGGGGAAGAGTGGGAGAGAAAGAAAATACAAATCCTTTATTGTTCAGGAATAAGCCGGGGAAGCTGGCTGTCTCCCCTGCGCCTCGCATTCGGCAGGGAAGGCAGCGCGGATCCGGTATCACGTTGCAGATCCTCACTCGAGATAACGAAATGCGATCTTTTTTTCAGAACAGCAAGTGGATGGGAAAGGAGCCCTCTACAACACAAACCTCATTGACTTAATGGGTCGGTTTTGGATTTCGCCTTCGAAAGGTTCGGAAAGCGGCAGCGTTGTGTTACTGCCCCGCCGGCTCCCAGCCTCCCGCCCCGGTTATCACCGCGCCGAGACGGGGCTCCGACCAAAAATGCCGCTGATGTTATTTGGTCGCGCTATTTGTTTCCCTCAGACCCTCTCACTTGAAAGAAAAAAAAAATTAAATTTATTTTCGGTTGGGGAAGAGTTTTATTTCTAAGGTCGGGGCGGAGGGGGGAGGTGGGAGTCGTGTTCGGGTGAGGTTTTTTCTGCTTTGTTTTGGTTTTCTGGCGAAATCGAGGAAAAACCCGCAGAACGTTGCGTGGGATCCGTCTTCATCCCCGCTCCGCGCTGTCTAACGCTGCATCGAATAAATAAGCCAATAAAGGAATTTCCCGCACAAAAACACCCGAGCGATGCCCCGGCAAGCGGGGCGAGGCGCGGAGGCCCCCGCGGCCGCGCAGGGGTCCCTTCGGCCGCCCGCCGCCTCCATCTCCGCGGGCGCGGAGATGCCAGGCCCCGCGTGGGGGCGAGTGGGAAGCGGGGGGGGGGAGGAAAACCAAGAGTTTTGCCCGGGGTGGGAAGCGGGGGGAGCCCGCCGGGCTGCTCCTTCTCTGCCGAAAAATAAACGAGCGAGGAGCGGCCGGCGGCAGCTCCGCGCCGTTATGTTGTTATTTAGTTATTTATTTAGTTATTTGCATCTGCCTTTTTTTTTTGAGCGGCTCGAAACCATTTTTTTTTCTGGGTGATCTTGAAGGGCTAAATGGGACGGGGTGGTTTGGGAATTCATTTACCTCTTTCCGTGGTTTCAAGTGAAAGGTTTCCAATTTTTAGGAAAATCAAGCCCGGGCAATAATTAACATTGATGCTGAGCGGTTCTCGGCTGCAGTGTGTAACTCCTAGGTAGACCCCGGCGTGTCTGTCCCCTCCTTGGGTGAATTTTGGTGACACGGGAGAATAAAGTCCCGCTCGGAAATCGCGGGGAAGCCTCGGCTCAGCCCTCGCCCGTCCCTGTCAGCTCCGCCGCCGGCCGCGCCGGGATAATTTGATTATTCCCAGCAAGAGCGGTGTTTGTTTTGGTCGGCCTTTTAAAGGAGAGAGGGGGGAAGAAAAAAAAAAAGGAGAAATGCGAGGGCAAGAGAAAACCGCTCTCGTTAAAATGGCAAGGAGCTTCCCCAGCCCCGCTTTGCATTTCTGTCCTCTTCATCCTGAAGGTATAAACCCCTCAGGTCCGTGTTTTTCCCGAACCGAGCACCTTACTAGAAAGAAAAAAAAAAATTAAAAATTTATGACAATAAAAAGGCGGGATGGGGGAGCCCATCTCCCAGGCTGGGCAGGGCACCGCTCCTGCAGGACGCGGCCGCGGGCGGCTGCGAGCCCATGCGTTATAATTCTGCGCACTTGCTCCAGACTTTAGGGTATTAGTTGATTTTAGAGCCGGGTTTAAGGCTCCGTTCCGGTCCCCACACAGCTGCCTTGTCAATAAGGATCTGTTCCAAGCAGACATTCCTTCTGGGAGGACATTGCAGCTCTTTAAGACTTCATCTGCAACATCATAAGTACTAAAATAAAATGGCAAGGGAAAATTACCAGACACATGGTCATGGGATATAGAAGCGTCCTGACTCCAGCGTACATAGTAAAGTCACTGGACAGACTGGGTGGCAGGGGCTTATTTTAAACAGCCCCGAGACGCGAAGTACACGGGGAAAAACAACAATCCGGATTTAGGAAAATATCGGGACCGGCCTTTCCCATATCGTATCGCGGGCAGAGGGAGCGGGCAGGGAGCGGGCAGCGGGAGAACCGCCGGCCCCGGCTCGGAGCCCTTCGCCGCCTCGGCCACAAACGGGCTGCTCCTAACTTTGAGCATTTACAGTCAAATAAATCCGAGCGTCTTTAGTGAAGACAAACAGGTTTTAAAGAGCCCCGCGATGGTTATTAGCACCCGCGGAGCGAACTCGTTCTTGAATCAAAAGCCTTCTGGAGTGCGCTGAAAATAGTGGTTTCGACTTATCTAATCAAAGATAAATACAGTCATAAAGACACCCTCTTCCCACCGCTCCCCTGCCCTTATCTCACCGCATTGTCCTCATCTCCCAGCCCGTCCTTGCTACTGACAATAGATTAGCTTTGCTTAGGGAGCCTAATTGTTTTCTGCTTTTTTTTTTTTTTTAAATAATTGCTTTGGAGCGAGGTGTGCAAATGAGGATTAGGCTAATGAAAGCGCCGCCCGGTCGGTGCAGTTTTCCTGCCCGCCTTCCGCGGGGGATCCGCGGGGCTGCCCCCGACCTGCCGCGCCGCCCCCGCCGGGACCCCCCC